TATCAATTTTCAACTCTGATTCTATCATTATAATTAATATTTTTTTTGATGGTAACACGATATGCAGTGCCATTTCCCAAGCTGACAAACTCTGCTTATCCGTCAAGCTTCCGGCTATAATATGTAGGACATAAGTTTCCTGTTGGTTCAGCAAAAGCAAGGGATTTACACGATTTATCGTATGAAGCACTGTCAACGGTCCCGACATGGCATTGGAGTACATGTAATCAATGAACTTCCATTTGAGATACTCTGGATGTACATTTTTCACAAAACGGTCAACAATTGCTTTTGTGCTACCACTTTCAACTATATGAGTCATAGAGTCAGGTAGATTAATTAGTGGTATTCTCACATCTTCTTTCTCTAAGAATTCGTAGATATCCAATAACAAAGATTGTTCCAATTGCTCACAGTCGTGTGTAACGGGACTGTACTGGTGATCATCGCACCAATTGAGCTGCCAGCATTTTATACAAACGAGTTTTACATCTCGTTGTTGGTGACAAATTCTGCACGATTTTGCGAACAAGAACATCTGCTCCTCGTACGGCTCCAATTTGCGACATAGAATCTCCTTGATAGCTTGCAGATTCTCCTTCTTATGTTTGACCCATTCGTCGTTCGTCATTCCACGAGTGATCCATAGACATTTCGTTTTACTAATTTCTTTTATTGCTTCACATATTTCTTTGTGTTGCGTTCGATGCTGCAGTCTGTGCTCCTCGCTGCAGTAAGAGATCATGGAACAATCCGAACATAATTTCAAATCCGTTTGGACTTTGTATTTGCAAACGTGACAAAGATTAGGATTGAAAAAGTGATTATAACGTTCGGGAGGAATTTTCGCTGTATAAAGAGATAATGCCATTATTTAGAACAATTGTCTATGTAATTCCCAAATAATACTTTATCTATAATGTGAATTAAGAGAGAAATGTAAAACTTTTAGAATTCAATATCTTGACAGAGATGAGAATATAGACAGTTTAGAGTAAATAGTTTAGATTAAATAGTTATTTAGTCTAAGACTGTTCAAAGGATATTAACATAATATTTACTAATGTTTCAGCATGTCAGGGGACTGTATACATATTTCTATTTTCAATATGTAATCTATCTGAAAGTGAAAAACAGACTACGAAGATCAGTTACCAAGTCGATTGTCGCGGACAAATTTTAACCCTTCGAGTGTGTATGTATCATATGTGTACAGAAAAAGCACGTGTCACCAGTATGTAATGTACATTTATGCACATCTTTAAAAAAAACCGATCAAAAATTGGAAAATACCTGGATTTTTATATTTTGATCCGCCATTTTCAATTTTAAAATTCTGATATCATATTCGGTTTTAACGACCTCGAATACGTTAATATTAGAATCGTAACGGATTTGTAAGAAAACATTTTTTCACACGCTGGTGGCACGGAAATCTCATATTTGCTACACAGTCAAGGAGTTAAGAACATACAAATATGTACAGATATATACATTAAATACATGCAATGTATTCGGTATATGCTACCGATATATGTAATATAAGAAAAAAATAGTAATTGACACTCAGAAAGATTTCTTTCTGTGAAGAAAAATTTTTTATGTGTTAGATTTCTACATATATATCAAAAATTGTGCGTCGATATATATTTGACAGGGATAATTTATTTCAATTAATTTATTAAATTAATTTATGATATATAGACTCTGCAGGTTATGAAGCTGTTGCGTAAAGCTCTTTTAAGCAGATAAGATGTTCCACTAATTGTGTACACTTGAATTACCTTTGTCACTACAATCAATAGGGAAAATATAGAAGTTACAAGATTTGTTGTTTTCAAGGGGCATGTTATTTGATGGTAATAATTTTGTTATAGATTGAAGCGTGAAGGAGATTTCAATACATTGATGTAATGACTTGTCTGACATCCAGAGTGAAGAATGATTGAAATCTTTCTAGTTTGGAGTTATTCTATTCCATATGCTAACTAATATTAACTATATATCCTGTCCCACCAGAAATTTCTGAAATGTTACACTTAAGGCTTTTGGCCTTTTGCAGTCTATCTTTTTTTAATGACGTTAGAAGCGAGAATATGCGTGCTAAAAATTCATGCGAAATGCATTAAAATAAAAATACATATGCATAAAATAACACTTGCAATCGATTAAATAAATTTGTAAGATATTCCGTGTACTCCTCTTTTGCTCTAACAATAAATAATTTGTTGTAAATTAACGTGAAATACAATATGTTTTCTTTGCCTATTTCTTCGCCTATTTCTACTCAGGTTAATTTACAATAAATTATTGATTGTTAGATCAAAAAGAGAGAGCACGGAGTATCTTACAAATTCATATTTAATTTATCATAGAAAATTAACACATTTTTTAGGAAAAAAACGTGTCTCTATTTGTGTCTCTGTTTGGTCTGTGAAATTGAAACTTGTTTTTCGTACTTATAATAGATATTAGAACACGTCAGCCTATCATCAGCTCCGTCATGTCGTTTTCCGCCTTACAAGTAATCGTAAGAAATGACATACATTTCTGACGCTCTAATGCTTTTATAGTGTTTGTCCCTAACGTTCTTATGTTTTATATCAAATCTTATAATCACATCTGGTAGAACATAGAAAAAACTTTGCACATAATATTCGTACGACACGCACTGAGAGAAAAAGCAGTTGGTTCGACAAAATCGATGGTCATTTGACGTCAAAGAAATATCATATTTATTTAATATATGCGTTAGTACAATTAGTTGCGTTGAAATGATTATATCTGCATTAATAGTAATATTAATGTAACTTATTGTTGCATTAATTTGCATTTCATTTGATTAATTTATTTTGAGTAGGTCCAATATTTCTTTGATAGCCAATGATTGCCGATTTTATCGGTCTAACCGCCTTTTTTCTCAGTGTACCATATATTTGAAAATAAAGCATCTTATTTGAGACAGGACACACATCACATATATTCCGATATTAGCACTTTTTAATTCTGATTCTATGTTTATAATTGTTAGTTTTGTGCTTGAAATATTTTCAACTTTACTTCTCTAGTAATTTATTTTAAAAAGGTAAATTTTCCGTAGAAAATTAAATAAGCATTAGGAAAAGATATATAATTCTCTAGACCTCTGTATGCTCTGTAAGATTGAAACACGTTATTTATAATACGAGGACGTGGGCATTTCTCTAGCATTTTATTCAGCCTTTTGTTACTGTCCTGCACTTTACATGCTAATATAGTTGTAAAAAGCAACGGAACATTTTGACGCTGTAACAATCTTATAGTGCTCGTCTTCAATGTCATTTGTTCTCCATTAAATCCTACAATTACATTTGGTGGGACGTAGGAACTACATTGCACCTAAGATTCATAGGACATATCGTACATTTGAAAACATAGCGCCTTTTTCACGTTACGGCACACTCCGAATACGCCCTATTCTCCTATATCTTTTATATCACTTCTCAATCCTCATTCTGTCATTATAACTGTTATTTTTGTTGCTGGGAATAGGACATGTAATGTAATTTCCCAAGCTGATAAACTCTGCATATCCGTTAAACTTCTGCACACCTCCTCGTGCTGAGGTAGATACTTCATCCTGTGTTTTTCGCTGCAGTAAGAGATCATGGTACAGCCTCAACATAATGTTAAATTTTCGTTTCTTCCTTTATAAACATGACAAATGTTGGGGTGGGTGAACTTATTATAATCATAACCAGATATTTGGATTTCGTAAGAAGACTCTAACATTATTCTGAAAACAATTTATCTATGTACTGTCAAGTAATACTTTATCTATAATGCGAATTTTAAGAGAAAAATGTATAATACTTTTGAAAGACTGCACTTTTACCATAGTAAGAATACTTGATATAGACTAAATAGTTGTC